ATGTGCTCTTTCTTAGCACAATTAAGAAACCTTGACAATGTATTTACAGCAAACAAGATGTCAGGTCTTGTTGCTGTCAAATACATTAAACAACCAATCATACTTCTGTAAGTTTCTTCATCTGCAGGTTCAGAATCATCATACCTGTGCAGCTTCGACTTCGGATCCATTGGAGTTCTTGTACTTTTACAAGAATCCATTTTAAACCTCTTTAAAATATGCTTCAAGTATTTCTCCTGACAGATGAAGACTTCATCAGCCTTCTGCAGAATTTCAATGCCAAGAAACTGAGAAACAATTCCCAGATCAGACATTTCAAACTCAGCATTCAGCTTAAGTTTTAACTCCTCCATCTTCTGGTGATTGTTTCCTGTAATGAGGATATCATCCACATACAAGGACACCACAGTCACTGCCTCTTTTTCCTTCTTGACATAGAGTGTGTGCTCACTCAAGCTTCTCTCATACCCACATTTCTGCAGATACTCATCAATTCTGCCATACCAAGCTCTAGGAGCCTGTTTTAGGCCATACAAAGCCTTCTTGAGCAAGTACACACTCTCCTCCTTTCCCTCAACTTCGAAACCTGGTGGTTGTTCCACATACGTCTCCTCTTTTAGTTCTCCATTCAGAAACGCAGATTTGACGTCCATGTGAAAAATCTTCCATTCCTTTTGAGCTGCAACAGATAGCAATAGTCGAACCGTATCTAGCCTTGCCACTGGAGCAAACGTCTCAGAGTAGTCTATGCCCCAAATCTGAGCATAGCCCTTCACAATGAGCCTGGCCTTGAATTTGTGAACAGAACTATCTGGATTCAGCTTTGTTCTATACACCCACTTCACTCCAATAACCTTCTTCTGTTTTGGTCTGTCAACAAGAGTCCAAGTACCAGTTTTCTCGATCATACTCAGCTCCTCCTTCATTGCTTCTACCCACTTCTGATCCCTTAAGGCTTCCTCCAAACCTGCAGGTTCTAGAACAGCTACATTACATCGAGCATAGATGTCTTCTAGTGTTCTAGTTCCTCTCACAGGTTGGTTCTCATCGTCTTCCATGTCAACCACCTCTTCTTCTTCTCTAAGAATCTGCAGAGGGGTGATCAAAATCAGCAGAAACTTGAGATGGCCCTTCTTCTGCAGTATTCTCAGAGTTATCATCAGACTTTCTCAAATTCCAACTATCATTCTCAGAAAATTTTACATCTCCACTTACAATCACATTCTTCTTCTCAAGGAGATAAACTCTGTAGGCTTTAGAAACAAGACTATAACCAACAAAAATCCCCATTTCAGCTTTCTGATCCAGCTTATCCCTCCTCGAATCTGCAACCAATGCATAGCAAATGCAACCAAAGACCTTCAGATTCAAAACAGAGGGTTTCTTACCAGTCCAAGCTTCCAAAGGAGTTATCGTGTCGAGTGCCTTGGTTGAGAGACAGTTTTGCAGAAAAACTGCAGTGGAACACGCCTCTGCCCAAAACGGCTTCGGCAACTCCTTCTCCTGCAACAAGCACCGAGCCATTTCCACTATAGAACGATTCTTTCTCTCGCTAACCCCATTCTGTTGAGGAACATAGGGTACCGAGAATTGGTGCTTGATGCCTGCTCCTTTACATATCGATCTAAACCTTCCTGAAGTGTACTCAGTCCCATTGTCAGATCTAATTACCTTCATCTTACAGCCACTTTCAGTTTCAACCTCATTCTTGAATCTCAGAAATATCTCATCAACCTCAGACTTCAATTTCATGAAATAAATCCAACAGAATCTTGAAAAATCATCAATGAAAATGATGAAATACTTACTTCCACTCGGTGAAACAACAGGCATAGGACCGCACACGTCTGTATGAACGAGCTCAAGCTTGTCCTTGGCTCTCCAACTTGAAGATTTGAATGGTAGTCTCTTCTGTTTTCCCAAGGCACAAGCTCTGCAGTTCAACACCTCCTTCTGTAGCTTGGGAAGACCCTCGACCACACCATTCTTGATCATATACATGATCCCTTGACCATGAAAATGTCCCAGCCTCTTGTGCCATATCTCATCTGCTGATACTTCTCCACTTAATGCAGCATGTTCCTCGTTTTCAAGAGTAAACGAGAAACTTTTGTTCCTCATCTTGATTCTGTACAAAGCTTCCTCTGTACCATTGCCAATGATACATTCGTTCTTGTCAAACACCACTCGAAATCCCTTCTCTACTAGTTGAGGAACACTTAACAGATTCTGATCAATCTTAGGAACGTAAAGAACGTCTGACAAAACTCCATTCTTTCCATCCAAACCTGTGATCAGAACATCTCCCTTGCCAAGCACTTCAATACACTCTCCATTTCCGATCTTTACCTTGGTTTTCAGTGATGTATCCGACCATTTAAACATGTTTATGTCACCAGTCATGTGGTTGGTACAACCACTGTCAACCGGCCATCCTCCTTTGACAGGATTCACACTGAAGCATGAAGCAACAAACAAATTTTCTTCATCCCCTGTTTCTGCTACTTTTGCTTCAGGTGGCTTTTGAGTTTTGCTTCGACAGAATCTCTCGATATGCCCGAGTTTTCCACAATGCCTACACTTGACATTTGGATTCCTCCAGCATCTCCAATGAGGATGGTTCACCTTGTTGCAGTGTTTGCAAGGTTCAGAAAAATTTCTGCCTACATTAGCCTCATCCGAGTTCCCTTCCTGCTTGTTTTGATTCCCGAAAGTTGGCTTCTGCTTCTGTTTCCCTTTCCTAGCATAGTTTCCCTTAACCGTTGCCTTCAATGCACCCTCGGTGGCCTCCTCTTTCCTCATAATCCTCCTTTGCTCTTGAGCTTGAAGAGCACTAAGAACCTCAGACAATTTTAGTTCTGCCAGGTTCTTGGTGTTCTCCAATGAAGCCAGTGTGGCTTCGAATCTTTCTGGAACCGAGACCATGACCTTCTGCACTATCTTCGTATCATCGACATCAGTGCCGAGGATCCTGATCTTGTTCACAATCTCAACCAGCCTATCCACATACTCTTTTACCATCTCATTTGCCTTCATATGCTGCCTCACGAAGTCTCGAAGCAAATTCAAGACTTTCATACCTTTGATGCGATCGTCACCTTCATATTCCTTTTTCAGAAAATCCCACATCTCCTTGGCATTTGGCAGTTCATGATCTTGGTAAAAATCGCTGGAGTCACACCCGAGAAGATACATGAAACAGCTTTGGATTTCCTTGTAACCTTCTCTTTGTGAACTCTGATCTAATTCAACGTCGGGTTCCCATTCAAAGGAGCCACAGCGTAATCTTCTTCAACAGCTTCCCAAAGGTCTGCTCCCTTCATGAAAGCTGTCATCTTCACCGACCAAACTTGATAGTTTTCACCATCAAATATGGGTACGGATTGCGGCGTAAAATGAGACGAGCTTGCAACATCCCCTTGATCCATCTCTTCTTCACAGATCCCTCAAAGAACAACGACAGCTCTGATACCACTGTTTCTTTCTCTATTTTCGGTCTGATTCTGAAACAAGAAGAATTCAAAACCAATCTGAAATTTTCTGGAACGATGGTTTGGTGCTCTATGATGTACTGTTTATGAGCTATGATTATGATACATTTGATGTATTGACACTTTCTATAGTTTTATGGATTAGTGTTTGATTCATTACGTGTTCTAGCATACTAGATCTGTTATGAAATCCGTGTATCATTATGAATGATACTAAACCCCTTAGTCTTATGTCGATATGGGAATAACGACATAATAAGACTAGTATGATGTGTGATTGATGACCATATAGATGATCATAGGTATTGGATTGCAGAACGGAATACTGGACTGACCCGCATGAGATTGTCACATGGACTAGCGTCATGACTTGAATCTCATACGACGATTCCATGATTGGATCCTAAGACCTGAGATATCTACAGAATCCAACATGAGGAGTTGCGTGCTTTGATTACGTCAAACGTCCTGCGTAACAGGAGGACTATAAAGGCGTGTATCAGGTACGAAACGAATCATGTACTGGATTGTAGATAGTCAATACGGGATTTGTACCTCTCGTAAAAGAGAGAGATATCGCTGGGCCCCTCGTGTGAGCAAGACTGTAGAAATGTGTGGCCGCACTATAGACGAACGTCGTCTATTTCAGACAGTCGAACTCAGTGAACGAGAAAGCAGTCGAATCAGATAAGGTGGCTTGTCCATGCCTTATGTTCGACATATGATATCGCGATACAAAAGGATCATTAGTCGGAATCATCACTGGCTTTCGTATGATCACAAACAAACTCTATTCGAGATAGGTAGTTATAGTGTCTTGCTAGAGACCGCCTATGACTTGTATTATCGGAATGGAGATTCTGCGTTTTACTGCTATTCCGGATGAGCCTACAGGGTCACATACAATAGGGATGGACAAGTACGTGTGCTAAATTATCCCGATTAGGAATCCTAATTGGATTGAGATTCCTAATTGGAATAGGAATCCTAATGGGATTAGGAATCCTGTTATGTATAGGAATCCTAATGAGATTAGAATTCTATTACATCTAGGAAACCTAATGAGATTAGAATTCTAATAGGTTTAGGAAACCTAATTAGATTAGGATTCCTAGTAATCTATTCCTTGTCAAATTAGGATTTTTGGAAAGTCTATATAAGGAGAATGTCTTCTAGGGTTTTAAGGGAAGAAAAAGTGAAAGAAAAAAAAAGGAAAAAAAGGAGAAGAAAAATAAAACCCTAAGCCTCCAAAAACCTTGCACACAAGAGAGATCGAGATCTCTAGTCCTAGCAGACAAGTTCCAAGGTGTTGGAATCCATCCCGACGTGTGGATACGTGTAGAGGGCGAGGTATTCTTCCTGCCTAGAGTGATCGGACGAACAGATCAATTGATACAGGCCCCGGATCGATTGAGGTAAGCGTTCTAACGTTTCTATGATTCAATAGTAGCATGGTTCTAGGGTTTCATTAAAATTTTTGTTTTATATCCGCTGCGCAAACCCTAGAATCGATCTCTTAGGAATTAGATTCGCTCATGAGATCCCAGGAATCCCAACATCTTCTTATTCAAAAAATGATCAAGTATTACAGCTTTAAATAAAACCTGAAAACAGATGAGATCTGTTGCAAAAGATCCTCTAACCAACATTTAAAACTAAAACAAATCTGAAACAAATCTTGACTTAGCTTAAACCAAGCTAATCTTATTAAACCAACAAAACCAGAAAAACCAACTCGAGCCAGCATTGCCTTCAGTCAACTTCAATTGCCAACAGTATCAAATCTGTACGTGTCTCCTTGCTAATTGTCTCCTTGCCTTATTTACGTGTTGCCGTTATGTTGTTGTCCGCCATACATCATTACGTTGTCTTCGTCGATCTCCCTTTGCTCACTTTGTTCACTAACAGAGCCCTCCAAGAAGAGGAGGGGCAGAAATGGAAGAAGCTGTTAAGGAGAGAGAGACTGGAGGAGAAGCAGGAATAATGGAAGTGGCGCAGCATAGGAAGTTGGGAAAACCGCAGGGAATTGACGTGTGCGATTCCTGAAGTTGTTATGGGATATATATATATATATATATATATATATATACTAGGCTGCTTGTATAGGTTGCTAAGGCCAGCTCATTAGTGTGTTAATGAATGGCTATATATATCTATTATCCTTTTCCGTTTCGGGTATCAGAAAATTGAGAGAAACTCTGTAATGGGGAAAAAACTCTATATTGTTCTGGGTTTATTAAGAAATACAAGCAGTTCACTATCTAATTCCTTATCACAGACACCATTAGCGAAAGGCGGAAGCTAGAAGCAGAAGCAAAGGCCTTTCCGGTCAAGAAAATATCTACACAAAAAGATAAACAAATACTCGTCCCTTCCCCAATCAAGAAATAGAACAGACTAATCCTAAGTCAAAGGGTCGAAAAGAAGACTTCAATCCATGGAAGTCTAATAATTCATATGCTATAGAAAGTGATCGTGAAAAGCTAAAAGAGAAGAAAGAGAGTGAACCTGAAAGATCATATGGTATGGATGAGATCATTGGCCACTTTTCGAACAAGTAAACCAAAACAAGCTACAAATGGTGCATCACAATCACAGAGGTTAGTATGAAACTTTAACTTTCAGGTTCTCTGTAACGATAAAAAGAAATAGCATCCCACCTGAAACGTTGAGAACCTGACTCGTCTCTGGAGATACCCAGCCTCAAGGCAATTTGGAAACACATATCAGATTCATTAGGAACTGTTATCTACCACAGACGTAAAAGACTGTTAATACCTTGGAAGAAACTTTGCCACTAATGGGAGAATTGCTGAGAGGGTAGCAACTCAAAGGAGAAAAGATGAGTGGAAAGCAAAGTCACGAAAGAAATCTCACCTGAATCAGAGATCTCTCACCTGAATCAAAAGGTCATAAAGTCCTCTGACTTGGTACAAGCTGATACTTTTCTTTTTCTTGGTATTCCTTTTGTTCTGAGATAAACAAAACCAAAGTCCCCAATTTAAAATCAAAGGATCTATTCCCAGTCATCAGAATGTAATAAAAAAAACTACCTTCAAGAGACAGCTCCTTGGGGAATAGCATAACCGGACGTGGAATTCAAAATCCTGATATAGATAAATTGCACATGCAGTTGATCAGCCTGGCTAAAAATCCTGATATAGATAAACTAGAACATGAAAGGGAATCAATGATATATAATATATAAGAAATTGTACCTGACAAAACTTCGAATTGAGGAATGATTGTTGTGCGTTAATCATACTATCCAAACAATTTACCTTGGAAATAAAGTAAGCATACGAAAGTTGCAAGCCATATGAAAAATAGTCAGAGAAAATATAAATAACCTGCTATCATTATGCCAACTGATATCGATCAATATCATGCATTACCTTCCAATAATCATTCATTTTTCCGCCAAATCCACCAAAAGGATACATTTTACGCAGCTGCTAAAAACAAAAACAATTTTTCAAATTCTGCTTGCGACTCTTTTTCAAAAAACACCCATTAAGGACACAGATACTTACCATATGATTATGAGAAAACTCTGAATCTCCTAATGTCAGACAGCCAAACAGCGCTCTACCACAACCCTGGGGAGAAGGGAAATGGTTTCTGTACCACCATAAAATTCATAGATTGTACTTCGAAGAAATTGACAAAGATTAAAAATAAAGGGATTACTCATCACTGTTGACTTGGCAAAATCCTGATATAGATAAACTAGAACATGAAAGGGAATCAATGATATATCATATATAAGAAATAGTACCTGACCAGGTTTCGAATTGAGCAAGAGAAAATTGCACATGCAGTTGATTTGCCTGACATGCCAAAACCAGTCGGTGAGACCAAACTCAGCAGCTTTGTTCACCATTGCACCAAGATGAACAAGGAACAACACGTTACTTGAGCACTGGATATAAACTAGAACATTGAAGAAAATCAAACAATCAAATTAATCAGGAGAAAAATTTACCCGATCAGATTCTCCTTCCTTAGTTTGGCATCCAGAAGAATCCAGCCTCGAGGTGTATAAAATGTTGAGTAAAACTTGGAAAGACTATTTGGTGCGATAATCATGCTATCCAAACAACTTACCTTGGAAAAAAAAAAGAAACCATTCTAAAGTCGCAACCCATATGAAAATTAGTTTAAGACAATATAAATAACCTGTTACAATTACGCCAACCGATATTGATCAATATCATGCATTACTTGCAGTAATCATTCATTTTTCCACAAATTCCACCAAAAGGATACAGATTACACAGGTCATAAATAAGAACAATTTATCAACTTCTGCTTGCTACTCTTATTCAAAAATTTTGTGGTCATCAAGGAAGAGCAACTGGTACCAACAATTTTGTAGAAAATGCTTCAGAGGACCTTTCATATGTGATGAAGATTCGTGATTAACCATAAGTTAATGTCTCTTACAGTATAGAGCATTATCTTGTACAGAAATCCAAATGGATGACATCCATAAGGACACAATTACTTACCATACAATTATGAGAAAAATCTGGATCTCCTAATGCAAGGCAGCCAAACTTCACTTCGCAACAGTGCTCCAAATACATGAAAGCAGTAAAAATAGCCACCACAAACCCGGGGAGAAGGAAAATGGTTACTGTACCACCATAAAATTCAGAGACTCTACTTAGAAGAAATTGGCAAAGGTTAAAAATAAAGGGGTTACTCCCCACTGCTGACTTGCAACAAACAAGATAATCAATGGAAAAACAATAGACCTATCAGATGTCAAAATCTCTCCATACTTTGGGGGAAAAAATCATGCTGCGAACGGAAAAATTGCTGAGAGGTTAGAAACTCGAAAAGATGATCTCAAAGCAAATTCACAAAAGAAATCTCACCTGAGTTAGAGATCTCTCACATGAATCAAAAGGTCATTATGTCCTCTGACCCCTTTCGGTTGAAAGAATTCCCTAAAAACAGAGGAAATAAATATTTACAGTAACGAAAGAAAAAATTTTCAAAAAAAAAACCACAAACACCAGCCTTGACAGTCGGGAGGGAGTAAAAAACAGAAGACCGGGGTCTTCCAATGGTGAAACAATCCCCAAAAAGTACCGCAAACTCTCTGAAGCTCTGAATGCAATGGCTCAATTCCTTGGGTTGTGGCTCCGATTTTAATGACACAAGCTCGAGAATTTCCCTGACGAATGAGTCGGAGACTCTTATCTACAGGTATGACCTTTAAGGTAGATAATCTTGCTGCTACTCCATGTCAAACTTGTTTTGTGTTATGGATGGTAATACCATCATGGTATGGTTACTGACACTTTGGTTCCACCTTTCTCCAAAATATCACAGGATATCGGACAGTTTCCTGAAACTGTCCTTGGAGGGATACAACTGATGTCTCTAGTAATTGGTGTTAAGTATGACATCAGAGTGGTATCTTCCATCACTTATTGTGGGAGCTAGATATATCTTTCATCAGTTCTATCCTTGGGCGTCTGTAGATTCTGTTTAAGTTTCCTTTTTTTATTGTCCAACATAGTTTCCATTTTAATCTTCTTTGGGGCAGAGAACCTTTAGCTTTCTCATCAGCCTTTCTATATATACTTAGCAATTTTCGTCGTCTTGCATGTTTTTGTAGGTTCAGTTGTATAATTTTGTACCACTAGTCTACCAAATTGCATTGAGGCTGGGTATCTCCAGAGATGAGTCAGGTTCTCGGTGTTTCAGGTGGGATGGAATTTTTTTTATCGTTACAGAGAACCTGAAAGTTAAATATTCATACTAACCTATGTGACCGTGATCCACCGTTTGCATCTTGCTTTGGTTTACTTGTTAGAAAACTGCCCAATGATCTCATCCATACCATAGAATCTTTCAGGTTCACTCTCTTTCTTCTTTTTTAGCTTTTCACGATCACTTTCTCTGGCACATGAATTACTATAACTCCATGGATTGAAGTCTTCTTTTCAATTACTTATTTTAGCTCTAAAGGCTATCGTGTTGTGTGGTGTAGCTATGCTTTTCCTGAGTGGTACATCTTTGGCAACACGAGTATTTGTTTATCTTTTTGTGTCGATATTTTCTTGATCGGAAAGGCTTTTGCTTCTGCTTCTAGCTTCCGCCTTTCGCTAATGTACAGAAACCATTTCCCTTGCAACAGAAAATATCTTGCATGATCTGTCAGGTTGTCATGGACCTACCATTAGATAGACAGGTTATCCTTTTGTGTATAGGTTTATGTAGTAGGATCGTTTTACTCTTGAATTTCTTAACGTAGTTTATTCGCTATGTTTTTTTGTCGTAGTTTATTGGATAAGCCTTTTCTGTTTACGATACATTAGGAGATCCAGATTTTTCTCATAATGGTATGGTAAGTCATCCATTTAGATTTCTATACAAGATAATGCTCTATATTGTAATAGACATTAACATATGGTTAATCACGAATCTTTATCACATACGAAAGGTCCTCTAAAGTATTTTCTACAAAATTGTTGGCACATGTTGATCTTCCTCGGTGATCACAAAATTTTGAATAAGAGTAGGAAGTAGAATTTGAAAAATTGTTCTTGTTTTAGCACCTGTGTAATCTGTACCCTGTTGGTGGATTTGGCAGAAAAAATGAATGATTACTGGAAGGTAATGCATGATATTGATCAATATCGGTTGACATAATGATAACAGGTTATTTTTATATCTCTAACTAATTTTCATATGGCTTGCAACTTTGTGTGGTTACTTTATTTCCAAAGTAAGTTGTTTGGATAGCATGATTATCGCACAACGTAGTCTTTTCAAGTTTTACTCCACATTTTATACACCTCGAGGCTGGATTCTTCTGAATGCCAAACTAAGGAAGGAGAATCTGATCAGGTAATTTTTTCTCCTGATTTGTTTGATTGTTTGGTTCCTTTCCATGTTCTAGCTTATCCAGTGCTCAAGTAATATGTTGTTCCTTGTTCATCTTGGTGCAATGGTGAACAAAGCTGCTGAGTTTGGTCTCCTCGACTGGTTTGGGTGTATTGGGCAAATCAACTGCATGTGCAATTTTTTCTTGCTCAATTCGAAGCTTGGTCAGGTACTATTTCTTATATATGATGTATCATTGATTTCCTTTCATGTTCTAGTTTATCTATATCAGGATTTTGAGCCAGGCTGATCAACTGCATGTGCAATTTATCTATATCAAGGTTTTGAATTCAACATCGGGTCATGAGAAGCCTATTCTCCAAGGAACCATCTCTTGAATGTAGGTCCCTAAATTACAAATTATTATGTTTTTCTTGTTGGAAATTCGGTAATGCAGTTTGTGTTCCTTCTCACCCCCACCAAACGGTGTGTTGCCTTGCACCAAGATTTCTTTCCTGGAGATATGGCTGACGCTTATATCTTTGTAGAGTTGCTTATTTCCAATATATGCAGTAAGTTTTTTTTTTACATTTGAGTACTTGAATGCATTGAGAAAAAAATGAAATTATGACTGGGAATAGATCCTTTCATTTTAAATTTGGGCGCTTTGGTTTTGTTTATCTCCGAACAAAAGAAATATCAAGAACAAGAAAAATATCAGCTTTTACCACTTGTTTTGTTCCTCTTACAAATCTTTTTCATGTTTATCTTTTCTACTATGCATCTGCATGGTTACACACAATGGGTTATTTTCTTCTTACCCAAAAAGTAATTGAATTCAACCAAGTTGTCATGCATTTAGAGAGATTTTGGTACTTTTGGGGATTGTATCACCAATGGAAGACCTCGGTCTGTTGCTTTTTAAACTCTCCCGACTTGTCAAGGCTGGTGTTTGTGGGTTCTGGTTTTGGAATTTTTCTTTTGTTACTGCAAATATTTATTTCTTCGGTTCTTAGGAATTCTTTCAACCGAAAGGGGTCAGAGGACTTTATGACCTTTCAACTATTCTGTAAGATACAAGAGTTGCAAAAGCAACTTTCAATGGACAAAGAAAAGGCAGAAAAATTGCAGGTACGACCTTTATGCTAAATAATCTAGTTGTATTGCTAGTCGAGCTTGTTTTCACTATGGATTGTATGTCCATTGACACTGTTCTCACTTTTCCCCAAAACATCATAGGATGGCAGGGACAATTTTCGGAAACTGTTGTTGGAAGGATACACACGATGTCTAGTAATTGCATATAAGTATGATGTCCCAGTGGTATGTACATCTAAATCTTGTATGCTTGGTGTGATTGTGTTGTCGAATGTTGCATCACTGTCAAAAAATACAGCCTTTATGACAAGGGAAGAAATGTGTTGCCATGGTAGAGTGTTTCATTCATCTTTTCAAATATAAATTTGCGTAAAGGGTTTGGTCTCTGTGGTAGGTAACAGCTATTAATAAATCTGATATGTGTTTTCAAATTGTGAATTCTGCAATCCTGTACTCTCAGATTGTTGTTTCATTACTGTGGATTCAGTGAAAAGATTAACTCTTATGATAGAATTATCCAATCAGACTATTTGTATGACCTGTTTTGTTTTCACTTTCCAAATTCTTATATTACTATAGTTTTGGAGTTAACCACCATTTGGTCGTTCCGAATGCAGTGGTATCTGCTCCATGTTCAGTTAACTCTTGTACCTTTTTGTAAGTACAGATATCGGTTGCAGTGTGTTTAAGTTGGAATTTATAGGGTTTAATTTTTAGTAAATCTATTACAATGCTTCAGTTTTTTTACAGATAGATCTTTCAGTCCACTTATACTACTAATATCTGGAACACTTCTGATGGGATTCATGTTCTAACTTTATCAAAGTTATTTCCATCATTTGTGGTTGCATTCTAAGAGCATCGTGAAGTTGAGAGATTTAACCTAGATGATTGTTTTGTTTTATTAAGTTCTTGAAAAGTAGCCTGTCATGGAACTAATATTTTCTTCTACAGGTGTTTCGATTAGTGTTGATGTGGTTCAATCTTGAACTGCATTAACGTGCAGGGAATATGTATTTTTCTTCACTTTATCCACAAAATAGTCGTCCTCCATTTCAACATGTCAAGAACAGCCCCTATCATGAAAAGCTTATTTGGTAATATTTTCTAATCTGATTGATTATCCTGCTAACTTTTACTTTTAAGCCCATTGTCTGTTTTTGGTGTTTGTACTTTTTAACTGTGTAGAAGCACGAATCAATGGATCATATTATCTTATATAGTCCTTAACTTTATAGCTAGGTTTTTATGCATCCGGAGATTCTCCCAAGTTGTGGGTTATATAAAATAATATGATTCGCGCTTCAATACAATTTAAAACTACAAACACTGAAAGAGACTGGACTAAAAAGTAAAAATAAGAATGATTATCAATCAGATTTAAAAAAATTACCGATGAAGATTATCATGATAGGTGTTGCTCTTGAAGTGTTGAAGTGGAGGACAGCCAGTTTGTGGAAAAAGTAAAGAAAAATACATATTTTCTGCACGTTAATGCAGTTCAAGATTGAACCACATCAGCACTAATCGAAACACATGTAAAAGAAAATATTAGCTCAACGTCTCATGCTACTTTTCAAGAACTTAATAAAACACACATCATATAGGTTAAATCTCTCAACTTCATGATGCTCTTAGAATGCAAACACAAATGCTGGAAATAACTGTGAGATAGTATCTTTAGATAAAGTTAGAACATGAATCCCATCAGAAAGTGTTCCAGATACTAGTAGCACAAGTGGGCCGAAAAAGATCTATCTATCAAAAAACTGAAGCATTGTAATAGATTTCCTAAACATTTAACCCTATATTTAACCCTATAAACTACGACTCAAACCAACTGCACCCGATATCTGTATTTACACAAGGTACAAGAGTTAACTAAACATGGAGCAAATACCACTGCATTCGGACTGGCTAGATGGTAGCTAACTCCAAAACTATAGTAATATAAGAATTTGGAAAGTAAAAACAAAACAGGTCATACAAATGGTTTGGTTCTACAATTCTATCATAAGAGTTAACCTTTTCATTGAATCCCCAGTAATGAACAGCAATCGGAAAGTACAGGATTGGAGAATTCACAATTTGAAAACACATATCAGATTCATTAGGAGCTGTTACCTACCACAGAAACCAAACCCTTTAGGCAAATTTATATTTGAAAAGATGAATGAAACACTCTAGCATGGCAAAACCTTTCTTTCCTTGTCAGAAAGGTTGGAAATTTGACAGTGGTACTTATCCATAGTGAAAACAGTTTCAGGAAATTGTACATGCCATCTTATGATGTTTCGGGGAAAGGTGAAAACAGTGTCAGTGGACATACAATCCATAGTGAAAACAAGCTCAACTCAACTAGCAGTACAACTAGATTATTTAGCATAAAGGTCATACCTGCAATTTTTCTCCCTCTTCTTTGTCCATTGAAAGTTGCTATCACAACTCTTGCATCTTAGAGAATAGTCTATTGTTTTTCCCTAATATTTACAAGGTCAAATACGAAATCGAATGAAAGACTTGGGTGGAAAATGCTTCAGAGGAGCTTTCATATACGATTAAGATTCAAAACAATAAGTTAATGTCTATCACAGTATAGCGCATTATTAATCCAAATATATGATACCCATTAAGGACACACTTACTTACCATATCATTATGAGAAAAATCTAGACCTCAAACGGTGAGACTGTCAAATTTCCCTTCAAAACAGTGCTCTACATACATGAAAGCAGAAAAATAGCTACCACAAACTTGGGGAGAAGGAAAATGGTAATTGTACCACCAAACAATCCAGAGCCTCTACTTACAAGAATAGACCAAAGATTAAAAATAAAGGGATTACTCACCACTGCTGACTTGGCATCAACAAGATAATCAATGGAAAGGCAATAGACCTAACAGACGTAAAAGACTGTTAATACTTCGGAAGAAACTGTGCAAAAGATACAAAGGATAAAGCTAGTATTTCTCATATCGGACATTTAAAACCTATAAGAATTTCCCCACATGACCAGTGGCTAATTTTGATAACTAGGAGACTGTCACTGAAAGAAAATATGCCAGAACCCATCTTTTCATAGAAGCTTTGACTTGTCAATTTACAATTTCTTCAGAATAACTCAAAGAACTTCGAATCATAACAGGCTGAGAGACATATAAAAGGGAGCCACGCGTTTCTTTTTAATCCAAAACAAAAAGCTAGCTATTGAGTTAGGGATTATATAAGATAGTATGATTCGTGCTTCAGTACAATTTAAAAACACCGAAAGAGACAATGGACTGAAACGTAAAAAATTGCAAGATAATCAATCAGATTAGAAAAATGTTACCAACGAAGCTTTTCATGATAATTGCCGTTCTTGACATGTCGAAATGGAGGACAGCTAGTTTGTGGATAAAGTAAAGAACAATCCCAATTTCCTCCACGCTAATGCAGTTCAAGATTCTATATTTTCTCACGAAAATCCCGAATTTTCTTCGAAAACCCACGAGCAGACAAAGTCTTACAGAATCCACATGAAAAAATCACACAATCCGACAATTTTCCCCAAAATCCCTAGAGAAGAAGTCAAGGAAAACAAAGAAAAACGATTTCTTAGCTTTATCCGACGACGGCTTGGAGAGATGGTTCGGACGTCCCTTGAAGTAGCCATTTAACCATGCAAACGAGGTTTAGGGCAAAATCGCCAGCGGAGAAAGAGAAACAGAAGTTTAGAAATGAAATGGCAAAGGCATTTTGGGCATATGAAGGGTTTATGACCGTTGTTGCATGTAAGGCCTTTTATTTTAAATACATTCACAATTTAACCCTTTATTTGTATATATCGTTGTCCACCCCTTGAATGGTGACGCAATACCGCGTCACGTGGCCCAATTACTTTATTTTAGAAGACGCCCATTGGGCTTTTTGTTTAGTTCAGTTTAAACCCAATTTCATAATTAAATACTACTTTTGCATGTGCCCTTTATTCCTTTTTGTACTTCGTAGGATCAGGGTAATATTTTATTCTAAAATTCGATTTGCATTACAGGCTTTTGATTAAATATTTATTAACATTCTCATTTTTTTTCAAAATGCATATTTGGAAACTATGTTGGACGATTGGAATCCAAAGCGGATATGGCCGGTTCCCATAATGAAATTGATATCATGCTTATCACCAATTTTATCCTTAAAATTTATTGTATCCTACTCTTTTTCTTTAAAATTCTACCTTTCAACTATATTATATCTTGATATCCTTTTCCTTAGTCCGCATTGCTTTAGAACGTTCAATTCAATTTTAAAATCCATGAGATTCGAGTTATATGATTTTGAAATAACTAAAATTAAATTAAATAGGAACTGAAATTTAAGGGGTTGAAAATTTTTTGTTCAAATTTGATTATTGATTTTAGGTTAATAAATTCTTATTATCGTATTACGGAAATGTGAATCGAATTGAAGCCGGATTGGATTGGCATGGCTGCAACTAAATTAGTTAGAAAGTTTTAGAAAGTGGTGTTGTAATTGTTCCGACGTAACTTTTGAACTCGCTGGATTAGATTCACTGAACACGTGAATACCGCGTCGGCCTCACCGTGTGGTCCCCACATACAATATATTTTTTATTATTATTATTATTTAATATACTACATAATAAACTATAGATTGTGAAGTTAGTATAGGTTCTATATCATTAATTTCACTAAACTTATAACAAAAAATTGATGTACCGTGCTATTTATTTAAACAGGTTCAAATTGATGAATATGTTTTATTATTATTTTTTATTTTCACTTAATTTTGACATAATTTTTCTAATTTTATGATTGAATTATATTCTGTGCGTTCCAATCAAAGTTCAAATGCAAATTGAAGGATTCATTGTCTTGTAAAAAGATTTGCTTGATTTTATAAAAAATGCATACGTTTAGCAATTAGGAACTCAAAATGCATATGTTTATACAAAATATTTACTTAATTAAGTACATTAGTTCTTATATATATATATCAGAAATTCAGAATCATAAATTTACAGTTACCAATCTTTTGTGTCGAGGAAGCAAAAAGAATCAAAACTTGAATACACGATCAATTAATTTTAGATATAGATCACACAAACTACAGAAGTCCTTATAAAAACAATTAATCTTCCTCCGAATTATTAGAGAATGCAATAGAAAAACAAATAAGAGGTGGATTGAGCTAAAAAAAATTAACTTTAATTTAGAGAGAATGAAAAAAAAATTCATAAACTTAAAAAGTTAAACAAACACATTTTTTTCCTTTAAATTAACCTAAACCCACACAACTATTATAATGTATGTGGAAATAAAAATTCTAAAAATATACTCTTTTGTAAGATCATAAAAAGAATCACATTTTTGGAATAAAATAGTTGATTTAGTTTCCCAATTTTACATCACCTTAGTAAATATTTTACCATTTTGATTATATATATTCAATTCACAATTAAACATTTCCCGGCGGCCAGCTCATCACAGTTAAACGTACTTCCCACTATAAAGACGAAATTTCAACGTCCCACCCGAAGACAGAAAAACAACAAACCCTTTTCTTCAATCTCCGTGATCCGAGACAAATCACAAATCTTGGATCTGTCCGAAGATCCTCACTTTCGCCGGAAATAATGGAGTTCTTCCTGAAGGCGAAGGCGGTGCGTCTCCGGAGCCACCACGACAAGTTCCTAACGGCGGATGACGACGAAGAGTCCGTCACTCAGGAACGCAACGGCTCCGCCTTAGCCGCGCGATGGTCCGTCGAGCCGGTCTCTGCCACCGGCGCCGGGAACCTCCTCCGCCTCAAGAGCTGCTACGGTAAGTATCTCACGGCGTCGAATAAGCCGTTCCTGCTCGGCGCCACCGGCCGGAAAGTCACCCAGTCGCGGCCGGATCGACTGGACTCCTCCCTCGATTGGGAGCCGATCCGCGACGGCGCGTGCGTTAAGCTCAAGACCCGCTACGGCCACTTCCTCCGTGGAAACGGCGGTGTGCCGCCGTGGAGGAACTCCGTCACCCACGATATTCCTCACCGGACGGCGACTCAGGATTGGATCCTTTGGCACGTCGACGTCGTCGAGATTCTTCCGGTGAATGCTCCGCGGCAGCAACCGCCGTCACCCCTTCATCACTCGGACTCTTTGGACTTCGAACCCGGATCCCCTTCTTCTTCTTCTTCCGGCCGTTTCTTCAGACAGGAGGTTAATTCTCGAAACTAACCCTTGTTTGCGATCTGATTTTCAACAATTGCCCCAATTGTGTAGTGTCTTGAGGCGCTGATTCTGTCACCTGTCACCATCTGTAGAGAAAGAGCTTTGAGGCTGTGATTTGTCTCCGACCACGTTTCAGAACAGAACTTAACATTCTTCCGGCCAAAACTGACAGCTCTTGACTTGTGTTTTTACCAGTCAACGGATTCATTTACTGTTGGATCGCCTCCGAAGATGGAAGGGAGGACTATATACTATCATGTGGCGGATGAAACAGGGGATGTGGACGATGACAGTGTAGAGGGAAGCTCGTTTACGTTCAAGGGCAATGGAGTTGAGGAGTTGACAAAGAGATTGAAGGAAGAGAGCGGCGTGGAGGATGTGATCGTTTGTACTCGAAGTCCCTTGAACGGGAAGCTCTTCCCGTTACGGCTTCAACTCCCTCCCAACAATGCCGATATGACCGTAGTCTTGGTTCCCTCCTCATCAAAACGTAAGTCCTTTTCTTCGTACATCGAACTTTATTTTGCCTCAGATGATGTTTATCCTCTCTTCTTCTTGATGTAGCAGTAGCAGTGGCAATGGAGTTGAAGAAGTAAGGGATCCAATCCATCCTGCAGGGTATTGTATAACCCTGAAACATGTCCTAAGCTGAGTTGTGCTGGAACCTGATAGTGTATTCTTTGTTATTGTTCTTCTGCTGAATCCAATGTTGATATTCTTTATTAGATTCTATGTTTCTGCTACAAAGGTGTCTAGCTAATCAGCAGCGTGTCACCAGCAAGCTTTGTTATTATGTTTCCGGCACTTACAAGGAGATCGAAGATGCAGCCGCTATTGCATAATCGAGCACTCGTTTTTTACCATCTCGGCTTGCTTAGAAACCCGGCAACATGTTACTCCGCTGAGCCTAAAGTTCTAGCCTTTCACCATTTCTACTGACTCTGCATTAGCCTTGAAACATATCAATGGGAACATCCGTACCAGCATGTTTCCGGACAGAAACTGTTTCAGACAACACTTTCTCTGGTGCATTTCGTAGAATACTCCAAGTAAACACACCACAAGAACCGTAGGATCGAATCCATCCATGTTTCAGAATCTGAGAATGCACGACTGTTGGGCTATGGTAGAGTGAGATCCTCTAATCCTCTCAGTGGATTAGGTTTCGGTCCTGTTCTGGTAAACCGGATGGTTTGGTCCGCGATTAGTGTCCTGGTTCGGTTTGGAGATTAGTTTTTGTTAAAACCCATGTTCTTCGTTTTCTTCTGCATGCGCCATTTTCATTTTCTTCGGAGGATAATGTGAAAG